GCACTAAGATCACTAAGATCACATATGCTATAGATTATTTAGATAACAATGATAAGTTGCGAGCTGTTGCTATAATTGATGCTTAATTGTAATCTGTGAACCAGCTCTGTTTATATTGAAGTACTAGTCATGATCTGTTGTTGATCTATTTTTTTTTTTCAATACAAGTTTGTATAACTATCTAACTGTATCATTTGTTTACAAGTGTAATAGTGATCGCACCTAAGCCATTCATTATAAAATCAAAACATATGCCAAGAAAATTTACGCAACGAATTTTCACGAATTTTTAAAAGGTGCCGAACTGGACGAACTTTTCGCATTTCTTCGACGAACTTAACAACTATGATTCACGGGTATTTATTCGAACATTTTTTCAGGCCATATCATGCTGGTTGCAGAAAATTCCAATAAGGTAGTGACCTTCAAAAGCTACTCCAGAATGTGTAGTTTATGTGCCAGGAGGGGGTTGAAGCAACACAAAGGCAAGTGCAACAACTCGTCCAATCACTCTACTAATATATAGTACAATGTTAAGTATGATTTATCAAAACTAATTAACAAACTTTCCTTTGTTCGCTCTCCAGTCAAAAAATGACTTAGATCTTGGTTACGAATAGTTGAAGATCATATCTTCAACTAATATTTATATCTGATATGAATATTCTGGAAAAGTTGTTCCAAAACGTACACACGAAGATAGATGACAGCCGAATTCATGATACATGGAGACATCTGGATGCTGCGAATCGCTTTACAATTAAAAATATTTGGGAAAACACAGGGAATGCTTCGGTAATCTCACACATTATGATATAAATATGTTTACAGATATTATATATTTTAAATTTTTGACTGCGTTATATAATGTCAATAACCAAGATGTTTGAAAGCGCAAGTTTATAGTTATGACAATAGAATTTCACACATTAGTAGAAATTCAATTATATTATATTTCTCTCGTGTTATAATACATCTTTTACAGGTGATAATGCAGATAGCAACTTTGACTGTGACCGAGTAGAAGCTAAATTTGTCGGCTTCGATAATTATAAAGTACGGAATTTCCTACTAGAGGCGTTTTTATAGCTGGGGTTCAGTGATAAAGGTGATTTAAGATTGTTCCGTAAGAAGTTAAGCATGTTGTATGTTAGTTATTGCTTTTAGCACCTTATTAAACAAATCAATATGACGAATTACCTGTCAGTAGGAATATTAATTCAAGGGAATCAATAAATTAGTTGATTGTTTTTAAGAAACTTAAACTCGTCACATTTTCTACAGGCGAGCCTTTGCACATTTGCACTCTTTGTCCCAAAGTCACGATCAAGAAACAGCGGGCAGTTATCAATGCTGCATCCAAGCAAGAACCATCAGATCTGCAGTTAATTATAGAGCGCATTTGTACGGTTAGTGAGAGCTGCATCAAGTTGAAAGATTCAGGAGAAGTCATTGAGAAGGACACAGTCTCTATATTATTTTATTGATATTGACTATTAGATTCTTATATATAGTACAGACAGATCCGTCTGAAAAAATCGATCTGCTGACACACAAAGCTTACAAAGGATTTTTGACGTTTTTGAGTCCTAATAGATGTCCTTTATGGCTGACCAACTTTTCCAAACTTTTCCACGTGTCTTAAGGCCACTTTTTGCCACTTTACCACTTTTTACCACCTTTCTTGTTTGTCGAATATCTTTAGTTGTGAACATCGTAAAAGGTTGCGGATCAATCGAGTGTGTTCATATTATCAGGAAGAAAAACTTTTATTCAAACAATTTTTACGTCAGATAATAAGTTAATTGGATAATTATCAATTAACTAATTAGCAAAATTCTAAAAAATTTTTATTGGCTCAAAATGATCAAAATAGCTTAAAACACGGAGAAAAGTGGTTTTTAGAAAAAATTTGAAAATTTTTCACTTACATTTTTTTTTCGAGACTTGGAAAAAATTTCGAAAATTCAAAATATTTTTTCCGCCAAAAGTGATCAAATCGCATGAAACACGGAGAAAAATGCCTTTCAAGAAAACTTAGTGAATTTTTCGTTTCAAGAATACTTAAATCGCCAATATTTGTAGTTGGAGTTCAGTAAATCTCGGCAGATTTTAGTAATCAGGAATTACTAAGTGAAGAGGTCTGAAACTGAAAAACGTTAACCATACGATCGCGCGGCGATATAAGAGTTTCATAAACTAATTTTCACAGAAACTGCACCAATGGCACAGTCAAGATCGAAACGATAGCCTGCTGTACTGTCATTTTATTGATTTCAATGATGAATCAGTGGGGTTAAGATAATCACATTTGTAATAAATAAAACATCTCTGTACCGTCAATTGTGCTAGTCTAAACCAGCCTACCTGTATTACCAGACCTCTTCTTTTCCTCGACAATCAAACCAAGTTGTTCATATCGCATTTGGTGGGTGATGTAAGTAGTAATACATATCGAGCTGTATTCAATCACAATACGACACAATGCAATACGTGTATATTATATTATGGCCCTTAATGAGGTATATGAAACGTTCTATACCGTACACTTCTCGTTTCTCCCGTGAGAGGCCCAGTATGGAGAGGTTTTACAGTTTATCACGAAAACGTCTACTTGGCCTCATGGCTCTTTGACAGCTCAAAGAAGGCAAGAAAAGACCAGAAAGCTTAAAATTTCAACTCGCTCTTTTCAATGCCCGTCGATCTGTCCCACATTAATCCTGAGCTGATCATCATGGCCCCGAATATCCTACGGGAAGAACCTGTATTTTTACCTCACGACGTCCGGATTTCAAATCAACATCCTCAATAACATTAACAATCCTTCCTGATCAGAATCTGTCTCTATTAGCGATTTCCAAATCCTGACTCTCGTGGAACATTTCACTGAATTGATTATTACCAGTTCTTTACTACCCCTTCTTGCCCGTCACTCGTAAGCTCGTATCTACATCTTACCCTTGCTGATTTTACGTTTAGCCGACCCTGACATATGTGGGTGATTTGATGTATCCAGCATAGCAAATTAAGCGGTATGCAGAACAATACAAAACAAGTCACAGTTGATGTTGGAAGGTGTATTTACACTTGCTTCCTGGACCTGGCTGTTCCTTAGTTTCCCTGATCTGTTCTTGCCTTCTTCGAACTGTAAATGAGCCATGTAATGAGGCCAAGTATACGTTTTCGTGATAAACTTTAAAACGTCTCTATACCGGGTTTCTCACGGTATAAAGCGTTACATAAACCTCATTAAGAGCCATATAATATACACGTATTGTGTCGTATTCTGATTGAATACAGCTCGATATGTATTAGTTTCAATACTTTCAACACTACTATATAACAAATAATTTGAATGACAGGATGGATTACTGAGGGCACTGTGTTAAGGTGATTTAAGTGGGTCCCAATCCCCACCGACCATTCTTCTTTGTGTCATGAATACTTGCTTCATCATCTCCTTTTAATAAAAATCACGGTGTCTTTATTGACTAAGCGCATTACTACTTACATCACCCACCAAATGCGATATGAACAACTTGGTTTGATTGTCGAGGAAAAGAAGAGGTCTGGTAATACAGGTAGGCTGGTTGAGACTAGCACAATTGACGGTACAGAGATGTTTTATTTATTACAAATGTGATTATCTTAACCCCACTGATTCATCATTGAAATCAATAAAATGACAGTACAGCAGGCTATCGTTTCGATCTTGACTGTGCCATTGGTGCAGTTTCTGTGAAAATTAGTTTATGAAACTCTTATATCGCCGCGCGATCGTATGGTTAACGTTTTTCAGTTTCAGACCTCTTCACTTAGTAATTCCTGATTACTAAAATCTGCCGAGATTTACTGAACTCCAACTACAAATATTGGCGATTTAAGTATTCTTGAAACGAAAAATTCACTAAGTTTTTTTGAAAGGCATTTTTCTCCGTGTTTCATGCGATTTGATCACTTTTGGCGGAAAAAATATTTTGAATTTTCGAAATTTTTTCCAAGTCTCGAAAAAAAAATGTAAGTGAAAAATTTTCAAAGTTTTTCTAAAAACTACTTTTCTCCGTGTTTTAAGCTATTCCGATCATTTTTAGCCAATAAAAATTTTTTAGAATTTTGCTAATTAGTTAATTGATAATTATCCAATTAACTTATTATCTGACGTAAAAATTGTTTGAACAAAAGTTTTTCTTCCTGATAATATGAACACACTCGATTGATCCGCAACCTTTTACGATGTTCACAACTAAAGATATTCGACAAACAAGAAAGGTGGTAAAAAGTGGTAAAGTGGCAAAAAGTGGCCTTAAGACACGTGGAAAAGTTTGGAAAAGTTGGTCAGCCATAAAGGACATCTATTAGGACTCAAAAACGTCAAAAATCCTTTGTAAGCTTTGTGTGTCAGCAGATCGATTTTTTCAGACGGATCTGTCTGTACTAATATGGGTGATTCTCATCAAAACCGACCCAAAAAACACGGGATTTGAAAGTTGGTCATAGAACAAAAAAAATTACACTATGATAAATCGGGTTAGTTCCTCTACTTAAATCTGTATAGGGGTCAGATTTTGCCCCACCAATTAATGAGTAATTGGCAATTAAGTGTGTTACACCCGTAACGATTTCTGTTACACCCGTAACGCATTACGGGTGTAACAAATCCTCAAATGTTACACCCGTAACGCATTACGGGTGTAACAAATCCTCAAATGTTACACCCGTAACACGTTACGGGTATAACAAATTCTCAAATTTTACACCCGTAACACGTTACGGGTATTACAAATTCTCAAATGTTACACCCGTAACACGTTACGGGTATAACAAATTCTCAAATGTTACACCCGTAACACGTTACAGGTATTACAAATTCTCAAATGTTACACCTGTAACACGTTACAAACGGATTGTTTGTATACCTTATTACTTTATTGATGTACATTATTCACCCATTCATCATCTATTATAAATTTCACCTGTACAAAGTAAAACGATTAGATTTTAAGCTACATAATGTAAATTTACGAAAGTGTATTATCATTACTGATTACAATATGTATAAACTTAACGATGATAGATGATGAATGGTAGAAAATGATAAAAATATAAACTTCCCTGCAAAAAAATACAAATTTAACTTGTTAAAATAACTGATTACATTATGGTGAGACTTGAAAAATTAGGTATTGTTTTAAACTGAATTTTGTTTCGAGGAAGAATGGAGGGCTTTTCTAAAGTGAAAAGAATGTCCTCTTCAAGATAGCACTCTGGCTCATTGAGCTTCTTGAAGATGAACATTACAGGCCCAGGGCTATTGGTAAGTGAATAGGGCTGGACCATGTACACCTCCTCTTCCTCGATGTATCTCATGACCTGGCCCACGTAGTGCAGAGTTCTCTTCTGTTTCACAGTTGGAACCCTCACCACTACCCAGACCAGATCATCAAATAATCTCTTATTAAAGTCACAGTCAAGGAGTTCCCTGTATGAACCTGGAGTATAGGCTTGAGCTGCATTTTGAGGAGGCGCGGAGTAACTGTTGATAATTGTCAACGTTGCAGTAGAAATTTCATCAGCCACAGTGCTCGCCGAGCCCGGAGTAGCTGGGACAAAGACTGGCCTCGCTGGAGTTGTTGAGACAGACGCTGGTATCGCTAGGGTTGCAACATCAGACGCAGGGATGGTCACATGACGGGTGAATGTCTTACATACCGGTTCTCCAGATCTTTTTTTCAATGTTGTCTTTCCTCGGGTGATCACCATTTCGTGACAGCTTGCAATACCTTTCTTAGCGGCAGCATTGATGTAGCTAGACTTTTTCTTGATCTTATCGACATCATCCTTACTGTAAGTTATGACCCGAACATTTTGGTCTTCTTCCAGATAACTTTTCTTCAGTTCCTCGGCAGAGAAATCGGAGTTGTCGTCTCTTGCAGTTATCTTTTTCAACTTGCTCTTTACAGTGGCACCGACACCATCTGCTGCTCCCTTTCCATGACCAGACTCGAGGTAGATCCATTTTACAGTGATTTCCTCGGTGTAGGTGTCTACTAAATGTTCAAGCAAACTAGCAATAAACCGGTTTCGGTATTGTTTTGTTGGCGAGTCTGAAATGAAGACAATCTTTATGTATCCTTCCCTTAGTATTTCGTACAGAAGACCCGAGATTCCTGCCCAAGTGGCAGCTGCTTTGTGACATATACTATCGGAAAACGTACAGATCGAAGAGCTGCCTCCCTGGTGCCACAACACCATTGGGTGGAGCGATAACTGCTTATTAAAAAAGAAATGTCCCTGTACTGCACGAGACTGCTTTATAGCAAGGTTAGTTGACCAGTCCATGTGGATTATAGCTTTTTCTGGATCAGTTAACATGAGCTCCTTTTCCTTCTTGACTTCCCGGAACTGCGAGCGGATCGTCATTAGGTGCTCCTTAAGGGCTCTCAACTCACGCGTTAGCTCTGAGGGTTTAAAATAGAATTAACGATTGTAATAAGCATTATGTATTATTATCATCTCTCGTATTATATTTATGATGTTAAAACAAGTTATAACTTTGTAGAGTAAGGAAAATTCAAAAGGATTGATTAATCTAATAACATAATAACCTGCTTGGAATAAGCTTTTAGATTTCGTGAACTGTTCCTTTCTATCAATAGGCACACTTGAGCCATCAGCGTCTACTTTCACCCACTTCATAAATGTTACTTCATCTGGGATATCCTTGTCTAGGTTGAGGTTCCAGGCAGTAGTGTTGTTGGTAGTATTTGTCACCAACCGCATTTGTTCGCACATTTCTTCCGCCGACATTGTTGTACATCCGGCTTTGTGGAGGGCTTCAACCTTGAAGCGAGGATTGAGACATTTCCCACAACCAGCAGTACCCCAATCTTCAGCTCCAGGGATTACAACAGTTTCGGTGGGAAAGTGCTTCGCAAAGTGCGAGAATGACACTTCAACGTCAGTATTTTCTGATAGGAACTTATTGTGTAGGATTCTAAGAGTGTCTCTCCTGAACCTCACCGGAACTTTCTCCTTGAAACCCTCAACTACCACACTCTTCATCTTTTTTATGTCAGGAATTGCTACAGAGTTAGCAATTGCAAACCCACAGATTAGCTCTTTTACGTTTTCCTCTGCTGCTGGAGCTTTAGCTGTTTCGTTATCATCGACCTCCACTGTAGGACCTGCACTACTTGCTTCAAGCTGAAGTCTTCTCCGAACTTTATGTTGCCTGAGCCTTATCCCCATAAGTCTCAAGCGAGTTTGGTTTTTGACTTTCGACTTCATTTTGCGTTTAGACCTTGGAGTGAGGCTGGCAATCAGAGCTTTTGCCGTTTTTCTATTTTCCGACCTCATACCCTCCATCTCTTCAGTCAGCTCTCTGATTTGTTTTTTGAGGATCCCAATCTCACTGTTTTTTTTCTTGAGCGTTGATTTTCGTTTAAGCAATCCTTTCCGTTTTTGCAACAACACGTCTTTCTCCTCTCTATCTTTCACCTTTTTCCTTTGCTCTTGCATTCTTAGTTTTGCTTTTAGTCTCAGCCTCTTTGTGTCACTGCGGGACTTAGGCTTCTCTCTCCTTTCCTTATCCCTTATTCGTTCCGCTGCCAGGTATTCTTGTTGCCTGGCAACATCTCCCTTCCTTTTTTCCCGGAATTTAGCAACCCGAAGCCTAGTTGCCGCCCTCTTCTCCTCTGCTCTCTTCTCCTTCTGTGATCCACTGCCCTTGCTTTCTTCTACAATATAATCCTCTGCATCTCTACTTCTTCCCGATCTTGTTCTCCCCCCGAATTTCTCCTCTTCGTCCCTAGGCGTTCTAGAAAGTAAAAACTAGAAAGGCAATGGATATTAATTGATTCTACAACATTAAGTTCTATGAATCGATTATTTTTTATGTCAACTGTAGTTAGCAAAAAAACAACAAAATTCAAAAAAACGACAAATTAGTTAAAATCCTCGACAGATAGCTAGCAGTTTGACTAATTCTCCAAAGAGTTCACAAAGAGTCAAACAAAATACTGCTGCAAACATCAAATGAATAAATACCTCAGGGAACTAGAATAACACTGCTTCCTCCTGTCAAATTCAATCATGAAGAATTCAATCACATACCTATCTAGGAAGATATTTACTCTTATAGACACTACAGTACATCGTAAGTTTACATTACACACCTACTAACTTATTGGTACCATTTTATAACTGTACGGGTGTTACATTTACAAATTCGTTGCACCAACAACGTGTTACAGGCGTAACATTTGAGAAATTGTTACGCCCGTAACGTGTTACAGGTGTAATATTTGAGAATTTGTTACACCCGTAACGTGTTACGGGTGTAACATTTGAGAATTTGTTACGCCCGTAACGTGTTACGGGTTCGTTACGGGTTTGTTACGGGCGTAACGCCCCAGATCTTTATCAGCTTAAATTTTCCTTATCTATTAAGATAAAGATTCCAAACTTGTTAGAAGTACTACCTGTCCTATAAATAAGCCTTTCAGAAAGTTTTGTGAAAAAACATTGATCATAAGATGAGTTATAGTGTCTGAAAGGCCTGTGTTACGGGTGGAACATTATCTGACACCTCCCGTTTTTGGCCTTTTATAGCAGTATTAACTTAATTTTATATTTCTAAGTTATATTTTAGTTATATATTTTGATGACCTGTTATTCTACGACCAATTCTCTACATGATTGTACAAAAATTAATCAAATCGTTTAAAAAATGATTATATGACAATAGGTTGAGTGTGAAGGGTAATTTTGGGTCGGTTTTGATGAGAATTACCCATTATATCTATTGTATGAAGTTATTAACCATATAATTCTATATTGTATGATGATACTTTAATTTCAGATTTGACATTTCGTCTCAGCAAAGTAACCATTTTAAATTACACTTTCAAGTTCTTGATAGTCTTTTTTCAGAGCAAAAAGTCCTCCAGTCTGGTCACCTGGAAAAACAGGAAAACCAGGAACCCCTGAACTCTGGAGTGAGAAGAGGGAGAACACTGATACACGTAGCAATTGAACGACTATACGCAAACAAGATAGCCCGTCAGCAACTCCATTACTAGAATCTTAGCGCTACAGTTATACAAAGGACCAAAATCAGCACTCCACGAGAGCGTGAGACAGGAGTGCCAAAGATAAACCAAAGGAACAACACACCAGGGTTCGAGTTTAATATCATCTCAACTCGATCCTCCTAAATACTAAAAGCACGACACAACCTCGAAGATCACCAGTGCAGGCCCGCTAGCATAATGCGACCTGGTAGTTCCTCGAAGTAACGCACTACCTTTTCTGGGAGGGTGTTTCGACACCTAACTCCTAACGGGTTCTATGGAGTCTCTCGATGACGGATCATTATGGCAGATAACCTTAGGGTCATCGCCGATCCACCGGGTCATAACTATGCTATGTCTTTTGGACGTACCGGGCTCTGCGAACCCCATGCCAAGCAGAGCAAACGGTACAAAGCCTGCAGTCCAAAGGAGCTCCATCAGACGTTAGCCACAAGGCGGACGTAGCCTCCTTGCTAATCCGGGGAGGTAGAGTGAGCGCCCTCGACCTAAAAAAAATATATATATATATATATAATTCTATATTGTATGATGATACTTTGGTGGAATTAAGCCTCCGATCCTCTGTTGGGGTGTTCGATCAAAATTGGTTCATACAGCTCATTGGTATCCCTACGGGTGGATCACTATGTGTCCAAATCGCAAACATAGCAGTCTACTACCTAATGAACAAATGTGTTTATAGTAACCCAGAGCTCATGAAGAAGATCGTATCAGCCAGGCGTTACATTGACGACGGAGCAGGTTTGTTTGAGGGAACTACAGATGAGTTAAAAATTTGGATTGCAGATGTCAACAAAGCACTCCTCCCCCATGGCCTAATCATTGATGAGTACCAAATAGAAGATCCTGGTAAATACGTATCTTTCCTTGACATAATGTTCACTTTCGATTCCTTGGGCTCCCTCCAAACGGATTTGTTCATAAAGCAAACGGACTCTCGTTCATACCTACACTTTAAAAGCTCCCACCCAAACCATATCTATTCCGGTATTGTATACTCTCAATGCCTTAGACTCAGAAGGATCATCAACTGCCAAGAACGCCTCAAAGGACACCTCGACAACCTCAAAAAAGCCTTCCTTGCTGCGTGTTACCCTAGGAAAATGGTTGAGAACATTAGTAATAAGGTTCTCAATTCAACAAGATCACTGTTACGCAAAGTTCAATCTCCTGATGACCAGACATCTTTACACCTTCCAATCAGGGTCATATCTACTTATGGTAGTGATGATGATTTGGTGTCTGTGACTAAGAAGTATGAAGAACACCTCTCAAGAACAAGGAGTTTCAGTGAAAGTGACACTGTTGAAACATCCCAAGAGACCTCCTCAACAGCTTTCACGCCTAGGAAGAAAATATTCAGTTAGACCAAGAAAACAGGGCCAAGCCTAAAATCTCGCCTTGTCAAATTGAAAGAACTTGCTTTAGGAGCTAGACATGGTCCAACCAGCAAATGCCATATGCCAAGATGCAAATGCTGCGAACTTGTCAAAGGCAGCCATGAATTCAAAGTTAACGGCGAGAAGGTTAAAGCTTCCCCTGGAAACTGCCTGAGTTACAACATCATTTATCTGTTCCAATGTAGTTTCTGTAGAAAAGCTTACGTCGGTCGCACTACTCGCTCTCTACGGGTTAGAACTGGAGAACATAGGGTCAAATATTATAAACTTTTAAATGGTGATAAGGTAGATGAAACAAGTGATGAATATAGTTTGGGCTTACATTTGTTGGATCATGGTTTTAAACAAAGGGAGGATTTTAACAAAATTTTTTATGTTTCAATTATTGATAATTCTAGTCCTAAAACTTTAGAAGTTCGTGAACATAAATATATTCAACAACTCAAGACTTTAAAACCTTTGGGAATAAACACTATAAATCCTTTTGGCCTTCCGTTACTCCTAACATCTTAATTTTAATTATTATATAACCGTTTTAAGAGTGTTCAGATTTTTAAAGGAATTTTGGGTTTTACTAACTTTTTACAATTTTTAGGCTTATGTCACTGAAGATGACGCCTTGCAACATGTTTGACGATAGCCTGTAAATTGATAGTTTGATCTCAGTATTTACAACAAATCATCTAGCTTGATTGATTCAAAGGGAGAATTAAATTCCTCTGTTTAATTTCAGATTTGACATTTCGTCTCAGCAAAGTAACCATTTTAAATTACACTTTCAAGTTCTTGATATAGTCTTTTTCAGAGCAAGGATATCCCCATGCCCCCTGTCGTTTTATTACTTATTTGTTTAAACGAGTGATTTACCTTCATTTAAAGAAAATACTGAATCGTTCATTACCATTTTTCTATCAATAAACAAATTCAGGTGAATGGATAAATTATGCTACAGAGCATATTCTCAGAGGCTCTAGCATATGAGTATAAAAATAACACTACCACACTACCACAGTGTTATAAGAATAACACTACAACAGCGAACAAAAACGTGCTACAGTTAAGTAACAATTTTTAAACAATTAATTTCACCAAAGAGATAATGATGCTCTCTAACTCCTCCTTGTAGTTCTAAAATCAGATGTTATAATATTAAATATGGATACATTGTATAAAAGCTGCAATGCTGAACCACTGTCAGAAAAAGTGGCCCGTAGTCGGTGGAGAATGTTAGGACATGTTTTGCGGGGTCCTATTGACGGACCAGCGTTTTCTTCCCTCATTTTTGCCATCAATACACTGGACTTATGTAAAAGAAATCTTTATTTGAATAATATCTTTGACCTGCATTATCTCCGTAATTTGAGTTATGACAAGAGATATTGGCGGAAATTGCAATGAAGTTTTTAATTTTTAGTTTTTGTTTTAGGGAAAGATTAGACTTGGGCGTTGTTTTTTAACTATCCCTTGTTTAGAACTTTGATTTAATAAGATTTAATACATTGTAAGAAAGGTCCAGCTGGGTCTCTCCCGACAGGGACCCTTCAAATCAGGAAGCCTTTCCCCAGACTAATAACACCTGGAAACATACACAACGACAAAAAGAAAAAGAAAACTCTCAGTATAGAAAGGGTATAACAAGTATAGAACCTGCACCATAATATACATACTAAAACAGCATCCTTTAAACTGTATATCTCATTATGTGAGGAATTGAATGTGAATATACCAACGAAATTGTCATGGAAGGAATCAGAGCCATATTGAGCGATTTAGAAGCTCAATTCACTTTCAAACAGAAACATCGGCTGAGGCCTAAAGCTTGCGCAAAATATGGCACAATACGAACTTTTGAACATCTTGGTAAATTTACCATCGGAAATTTATTGGAGCTATTCAGCTAGCTGGAAATATCTGTTCCGATATCAAGTGTGGAGGGTCTCTTATTAGAGTTGGATTTCTGGCATTGCAAATCAGGGGGCACCTCATCAATTAGCAGACAGTGCAAAGCAAATGAATTTTCTAGCGACTTTTATTCAGATATTAGGCATAAATAGTAGAATGATATACTTCAGTTGAAAATTATAACAATATCATACTGAACACCATATTATGTCTTCTCGACATATTACACAAAAACTATGACTAAAATTTACATACACATTGGATGATTATCTGAAGAAAATAGATGTTAGTTTTGAATACATAGCACATTGTTACACATACCATACTTCTTTAATACACTCATTCTGATGCCCAACATTTCTCAGATTGCTGCTGTTCGCTTCGATCCCTCCGCAGGCACAATCATGGAGGAGTTCACCGAATACATCCTGCCTACTGGTCCGGTTTCGGCCGATGCTTCCAGACTGTCGCATTACAAATGACTGAACAATTATCATGTAAAAATTACCTCAGCATGAGTGATGAGGAAGTAACTGAAATGTTTTTAAAATTGGGGATCGTCATGTTAGTTCTGACACCGGATTAACCGATTGGAGCGGAGAGTTGAAGATCAGTGGCAGCAGACTACCATCTAATTGGTAAGTATTTATAATTGTTACTTATTAGGTATTTATTTGGAATTGATTTAATATGGATTTA